TCTCTCTCTCTCTCTCTCTCTCTCTCTCTCTCTTTCTCTCTCTCTTTTTCTTTCTTTCTTTCTCGTTTCTCTTTTCTCTTTCTCACAGTTGCTCTCGCTCTCTCTCTCTCTCTCACTCTCTCGATCTCTCTCGCGCGCTCTGTCTCGCGCTCTCCCATGCTGTCTGGGTTTCGGGCGCATGACATAGATGTGGCGGCATAGTTGGTGGCGAGACGGCAGCCGGCATATATCGATTTTTGCTTTCGACGTAGGAGATGCCGTATGACGGCAATGTTTCAATGTCCGCCAAGGTTTCTTTTGCAGAGCTGCGCAAATATGCTCCCATATGGCTGTACAGCGGGTGATCAGCCGCAATCCATAAATGCATCAAGCACGTAGAAACTGAACGTAGAACTGTTCCTTTTCCCCTTGCATGCAGCATAGCTGAGTACCGAATGTCAGAATTCGATGTTAGGTTAATTGTGGTTAATTACAATTAATAATATATTGAGCGAATCGTTATAGTTTTTACTTTGAAGAAAAAAACAACAACCCTAAGACCTTGGTGGCTAGGTTTTCGGCTGCTCAGCCGGGTTTAATAGGGAAACAGGTTTGGCGCCAGTAGGTTTTTGGTTGTGTTCTTGCGGCTGCCGGCAATGATTGTGTATTTCATTCCGCATTAATGGCCATTACATAATTCGTCGCATGAGTCATCGCAAAGGAGCGGCCGCATGCGAGAGGAACTGTTAACCGTAAATATATAAATTTAAATATTATATCATGCTGGGTGTCTCGGGTGATAATTTCCCTGTATTTCCACCCTTTTTCCAGGAGCGTTTCTGGTGCCCTACGCCATATTCATGATTCTGTGCGGGATGCCCCTGTTCTTCCTGGAACTGTCGTTCGGACAGTTTGCGAGTCTGAGCCCGATCACGATCTGGAAAATCTCTCCACTGATGAAAGGTGAGTAGCATGGCCGAAGTTATTATGATAACGATGTTAATATAATGGCAATGTGCCAGGGCATAAGAAATGTAGGGGGAAGTTTTAACAAGAGCGGTTTTCGGGAAGAGCTAGAACTCCTGTCTCTTTCTGTGACCGGTCAAGAAAAATACTGTCACGATGATGACACTATGCATTTTTTTTCGGGTAATTTTTTAAATTATTGAAACACGTGTAACTCTTCTGATACCCTCATCCCCATGGTTGAGCTTGCTGGTTATGAACCTACGCTAATGCTGACTTGGTGCAGCGGCTGGTGGGCGAGATTTTTTTATTATTTCTAGGCCTTGTCAAGTTGGTCATGTAAATGTTTATGCCCTAGTCTGGTGGACATGTCATGAAGCCACGTGTTTCCATTGATTATTTCTTATGTAAACAGACTACACATACACATGTATGCACAGGGGAGCAGTGAATTCCACCGGGCTGTGCGAGGGCACACATACCACCATGTTTGTTAGGATGACTGATATATAGTTTTGTCAGAAGTAGATCGTTGGTCAATGAAAGCCATGCACGGATGCCACCATTTCATCAATTGATTCTACTACAGTGTTCAATTAAAATTATAATTGGCAAAAACCATGTATGTATTTGAAACAGGATTCATATATATAGCCATTCATTAAAAATGTGGGTCTGACTCTGTTGTGGGTAACCAGACGGTATAAAAATAAATCCCCATATCAAACTTTTTATTTGAAAATCTCAAAATTTAACTTTGTCATGCCACCATTTCTCCAGTCATCCTTATTGAAAATATATAGAATCTGCATTTCAAATGGAAAACCTCTGTTTTGTAACATATTTAGTTATACATACCAACACACACACGCGCGCGCGCGTGCGCGCGCATATACATAAAGGAGTTTCACGTACGCCCCTCTTCCACTGGCAAACGTACACTGCACTCGCGCCCACACAGGTTTCTTGGTGGTTGTTTCACTGTCGTATTGGATATTTCAATTGACCCCGCACAAAGGTGCATGCAAATAGGAACTGGTTAAAACTGGTTCGTAATGCCAGATTTTATTTAGATCAAACATTTAATCTACCTGGCTCACAAAAAATGATACATGTTCCTTGGTTGAAACTGGAATTCGGGTATGCGCGTATCTTTGTGCGTGTTGCCATTATATAATGTTAGAATCACCGCACCTGATAAAACCCTGTTCATTTCAATTACGCCCTGAGGAACATTATTTAGCAGTAGTGTTATTTCACCCTAGAGAATTGCTAGGGAGTAATGGAATCAGAGCTCTGTTAGCTCATAAATATCATATGCCTGCAATTGAAGTTCTGAGTCCCATTCGGTCTCAAAAATTGCATCCATTCAAAATATTGACACTTATTAACGTTTTTATTTTAATAATATAAATTTAAATGTGATTTTGTGTTAGCTGTTCTTGTATATTCATATATTGTAATTTGTAAAGGATATACCAGAATTGTCGTGTCATTGTACAGTCATTTGTACGAAATGCATTTGGCAGCTGTCTGAAATTTGAGATTGTCCCCAAGCTGTTGTGCAACTGCAGATGCAGCTGGAACAACACGTGGATCGATATGTTTGCCGCGTGCAGCTGGTGTGTGCGTTTGATGATTGCTGAATATTGCACAATGACACGTGAAACCGCGTGAAGCATATGAATGCACGAATATAGTCCAAAGTTTCGCGTGTCCCAGGCTTGGAAATTTTCCCCAGATCTGCAGATTTCCTCGGATTTGACAGCCCCCTGGGTCGATCATTGAAAACTTGTCTAAATTAGATTCGAAAATTTAAGAGGATTAAGAATATATACTTGATAAATTTGGGGAATGATTACAGGATCGAGGTTTTCCTCTATATTATACTGATAAATATTCTAAACTACTTGGTACACCTTAACCATTAGCATATTAAATTTTATTATTTATTCATAAGTTTTGTGTGACATTTTCTTACAACGAACATATATGTGAATTTGGAATGCTGTGAGGTGCCTGTTAATGGCAGGGAATGCATCTCAGAGCAGCTATTCCCCTTCTGTGCTGCCTAGAGTCGGATGCCTTGCTGCACTCTGCAGGTTCCTCCAAAATATTGATTCCCAATTTCAATGCCGTGTAATAAGATTCCCCGTGGCAATAATCCGGCACTATGGAGGCAGGAGAAGCCTTGATAAGCGCAAATATGTTGGGGATTGTGAATATTTGAGAAGCCTACAAGAGCACAAATATAATCGGAAAATTTCCTGTATTCGTGTAAGCATTTAATCTCTATTGTAGACTTGTGTAGTCTGTGTAATGGGTAGATTGGGCATGTTATCTAGAAATGGTGACGTAGCTCTCTGTTAAATGTTAATCTTAAACCACGTATCTGTTGGGAGTATTCAATATATATATACCAAAAATATATCAATTTTGGTGCACACTAAAATAAAAAGCGTCTCGACATTCCGTAGTCAGTACATTCTAGCCTGGTCAATGTCAGAGCATTTGCGTTGCTTGTCGTTTTGCGTCTCGTTGCGATCGCGCGTTTTCCGTTGTCGCCGCAGGTCTCGGCTACGGCATGGTAATCATCTCGGGCATCGTCTGCATCTACTACAACATCATCATCACGTGGACGCTCTACTACATGTACCTGTCGGTGAGCCACGCCGTCGTGCCGTGGGCGTCGTGCGACAACGAGTGGAACACGGACGAGTGCGCGGTGAACACGCGGCACCCGCTCTACAACAACTCGCTGCACTTCCTCGCGCGCACCGACAACGGCAGCCTCGCCGCCGTCGCGAAGACGATCAAGACGTCGCCGAGCCAGGAGTACTGGACGTGAGTGTTGGTCGTCGGCGCCCCGTGCGTGCGCGTGCAGGCAGACGGAAGCGGTCGTAAAGCGCGTGCGCGTGCAGACAGACGGAAGCGGTTGAAAAGCACACGCACTGTGCGAGGCTCGATGACGGAGGCGTTAAGTAGCTTGTGCTGAGCAATTATACATATATCTCGCTTGCTGAGAACTTTTAAGATGTAAAAAACTGTTTGACGTGGAACGGCATGTGCTTTCTACGCAACACGGTTATTTACGAGCGTGACCTAGAATTGGTTTTTAAGCGGTGGAAAAACCCTGACATTTGTGAAATTACAAAAAAGGCTCATGTGTGGGTAGCAAAATATAGCAAGTGTCTTCTTGAGTAAACATGATAAATGTGTCTGCGATTTTTGTGCACGGAGTAGCACGTACAGTTACAGTTGTGATCTGTATACATTTTTTCCTATACTGGTGAAGCCCTCACTGAACTTCCATGTAAAGCGTTCTGAAATATGCTAGTGGTATAGAGTCTATAGACTGACACCGAGTGTGGTCATTATTTGCAGGAGGTACGTTCTTCAGATGTCTGACGGCATAGAGGATATGGGCAGCGTCAGACTAGAGCTGCTCGCATGTCTGGCATTGGCCTGGACATTGGTGTTCCTATGTCTTTTCAAGGGTGTCAAATCTTCTGGCAAGGTGCGTTAAACTGCTTAAATGCGCTAGCTGTCCAACACAAATTTAAGGTTCCCATAGATTTCTTTACAACTATTAAATATTTTTCTACCATATATCAAAATTAAAATTATTAAAAATGATAAAATCATAATTAAGGTAAATTGCGTATTGCCTGACTAGTATAATGTTTCGTCCGTGGTTTGATGCAGGTTGTGTACTTCACGGCTACCTTTCCCTATGTTCTGCTGACTATCCTGCTCATCCGGGGCTGCATGCTGCCAGGTGCGGCTGATGGCATTCGATTCTATCTCTCCCCGAACTGGGAGTCACTGAAGAGCTTTAAGGTGAGGAGGTTAAGGGTATTTGGTCGAAGTCGAAGAGAGGCAGATATTTGTCAATGTTTGTTTGTCCATTAACAATGGAATTGACGTACGTGTATGCGTGTGCGTGCGTGCGTGCATCTTTTTAATTATATCACTAATGCTGAACTGTTAATAAATAACTTCTGGTAATCTGGCACTGGCTGAGTTTAGGTTTAACGAGTGGTTTTGTCATATTATATATATATATATATGTAATATGGTCATATTAACTAATGGTATATAGTTAACATTAATTGAGCATGTATGTATCTTGATGCAGTTTCTTAAATTTCTCTCCTATTTCATTATTACTTTAATAATAGCATTGTAGTAGCTAACATTTGTGTTTATTTTTCTGTAGGTCTGGGGTGATGCCGCGACCCAAATCTTCTACTCTGTTGGGCCAGCTTGGGGCGGTCTCATCACCTTTGCATCTTACAATAAATTCCACAACAACTGCTACAGGTGAGTGAATATATAGTTATATATATATTAAGGTATAGCTATGCCTAGCCGTATATTAGCCGTATGTCCAATCAGTTTCCCACAAAGAATAGGATTCTGTTTGGGAAACCGTGGTACTATGGATCTATGCGTCGGCGCGGCAAGGTTGTGTAGTCTAAGGATATGTGATACAGCCTTTATTTATTGGACATCTATACAGAAATCATTCTTTATTTGCTGTTGGCATGCAGGTGTAGGGATCAGTCTAAAGGAGATAGTAAACATGTTGACGACGAATGAATATTGTATTTGTAGGGAACATGGCCTGCTATCGGCAATTGTCAAGTAGATACCGGTATAGTATGTTCTAGGTCCTATATGTTAGTGATCTCATTTAGTCGAACACACGCGTTTTACCACTTTATGGCACTTATAAATTTGGTAACAGGAACATGCTTCTACTAGATAAAGCAAAAAAAAAAGATCTGAGAAAACATCATAATAAGCGTCCTTAATCTTCCCTTGTTACATGTATATGTAGGGTTCCTGCTCAGTATGTTCTAATCTTTATATTTAGTGTTCCTGCCAGAAATAGTGGCCTTATCTGATCGCAAATACTGCTCATAGGGTCTATGTCCCCCAGGGTACTGCCGGAACGTACCCTGGGATCGGTCCGGTATACCGAAACGTACCCTGGTAACTATCTGATATGGTTAGGGTTAGGGTTAGGGAGTAGGCGTAAGCGACTCCCTAGACTCGTTAGTGGAGTAGGCGAGGTACGGTCCGGCATATTAGATAGTACGAGGGTATACCATACCGTACGAGGGTACGTTCCGGCAGTACCCTGGGGGACATAGACCCTCTCAGCGCAAATACTTGTGATTGCCAGATTGGTACTAATCTTTACACTAGCTGTTATCGCCTATGTTTATTTATTTCCATTATTTACTTCACTCAGGGCCGCTACCATTGAAATGTCTCGTGATGCTGCATGGCTGCTTGTCTGCCATATGCTGCTCATCATACTTATATACATGTAATTAATTAACTGGTAGTGTTAACAAGAGGAAGAAATTAATAATCATCGTTGGCACGATGCCAGATTATTTGGTCAGGGCAAACAAGAAGTCTTAGGTGCGCTCAGTAATCAGAGGGGCATTCCTGATACGCAGGTGTTTGTTGCCAAACATGACCTGCTGTGCGTTGATCTGAACATGTAGGCTGTAGCACAACACGTGATACATGTGCTTAGCGCTTATCACGAACCAGGATTGATGTAAGGAAAAGTACTGCGTATCACATAAATAAAGTCCGTCTTCGGTCGCTGTGTCTAAAAATTAGGACTTGGGGGGGGGGAATCGTTTGTTTCAGGGAAGAAATATGGGTTGCAGCTACAAACTATAGTGTTACTATTACCTATTTGGCTAGGGTTTCCCAATCTCTTCTTGGTTGTAGTGTCGCCATAACCTTTTTTGGCTAGGGTTTCCCAATCTCTTTTTGGTTGTAGTGTTACCATAACCTATTTGGCTATAGTACTTCCCAATCTGTGTGTGTGTGTGTGTATGTGTGTGTGTGTGTGTGTGACCCCGAATTACCATTCATGCGGCCTGGTAACCCAAAAAGCTGATAGTGCGAATGCTATTGGGAAAAGCCTTGTACATCCCAATCAATTAAGAGAGACGCAATATGCAACATTCAGACGACCTATGGCCTCGCTATTGACGAACAAACCTTCAGTGGCAATTGTCGTATCACATCGCAAACATTAGTGTTAGGTTTTGCGGAGACCTTTTAAATTTTGGCAGGAGTTTTCAGTTAGGGCCCTTTGCCTACATTTTACCAGATTCGATATACTGTCCTTATTCACTCATCCAAACCTTTTGCCGTACATCATGGTAGGGCGTCTGCGCATGCTCTGGCTGAGAGGTTGTAGTTGTGCTAGGAGGCAGCACTGCTCAGTTACGCTGAGAGGATCTATGTCCCCCAGGGTACTGCCGTAACGTACCCTGGGTACGGTTCGATATATTGGAACGTACCCTGGTACTATCTAATATGCCGGACCGTACCTCGCCTACTCCACTAACGAGTCTAGGGAGTTGCCTACGCCTACTCCCTAACCCTAACCCTAACCATATCAGATAGTTACCAGGGTACCCTCCGATAATACCCTGGGGGACATAGACCCTATGAGCTAGTTGTTTCTATCCTCTAGATATTCCTATCCCTGTTAGGAATATTGATTTTCATGTGACAGTAGTGGTCACATCATGGCATTCTATGCACCAATGTCAGTGCATTATTTTTTACAGCCATATAACAAACATCATCGTAATGCCATTTGTAGAGGTTTGATTTGTGGTCACTGCAATCTGCTTAAATGTACCCTAGCGTTACGTCGTAGCAGTTGTAACCGATGGCACGCCGGGCTACCGCTGGCGTTCGCCACTTTCGCAAAATGCGATAAATAAATAACAGTGGAGATTTTACTACACTTAAGTGGCAAATACAGTTGGCGAAGTATTTAACTGGTCACAAAATTACAATTGAATAATGAAGTCGTCAAATTGCAGTGTCGCGTCGTAAAATGTTTTCGTACACCTGTTTTCACATGCCCATCACCTGTGTATGTATGCCTTGCTTAGCACATACTATAAAGTGAACAGAGGCTATATATAGTTTTTCCATTGGTGGCTAAAAAATCATAATTGGTGGATCGAGTCTCGGCTCAAACTTTACCACATGCAGACGGAGCCCGGCGATGGCACTGCGCCAATGCTAAGCGATCGTGTTTGTGTTTTTGCATTTCAGGGATGCACTGATAGTGCCCCTGATCAACTGCGGCACGAGCGTCTACGCTGGTTTCGTCGTCTTCGCCATCCTGGGATACATGTCTTATGACACGGGTATGCCTATTGCAACCGTCGCCAGCCAAGGTAACTACTACTAACTAACGTTTCTCGACTGTAGGGACGTGGGTGTGGGGAACAGACGGAAGGTTGTACTGTTTTGTGGTAGCACAGAAGGAGAGGGGAGCAAAAGGTGGTTATCGGCCGGCTTTAGTTACGTGAAATATGCCAACCAACTTATACGTGGTTGTGTAGTAGGGTAACCTATAATATGTTTAAAAAGTGCAATGCTTAAATTTTGTGGAATTGACGTTTGATGTGGAAATTGGCGTTGCAGCATTGTCATTTGCTACCCTAAACTAATTGTTTTGCACTCTCTCTCTCTCTCCCTCTCCACAGGTCCAGGTCTGGCGTTCGTTGCATACCCGGCCGCCATCTCCACACTGCCCATATCGCCGCTATGGGCATTCCTCTTCTTTTTCATGCTGTTGTTAATTGGGTTGGACTCTCAGGTATTACTAGCTATATCCGCTTCCGAATACTTCCGTCCCCCGGTAGTGTGTTCTTTAGTCTCCGTTGCGTTCCGTAAGCATGAGGCGCGCACACGACAGCAGGGATGCCAACGTCGGAAGCAGCTTCGATGAGGTAGATGCTGCCGGCTTCTCGTGTCTGATGTCAGCTCTCAGATCCCGTGCCGTGTGTCGCCGTGCGCGCCTAGTGTGAACGGGCCAATTTTTACCGCATAGGTCACGAACCTTCCGATCGCCAAAGACCATGAGAGTGATAGTGCGTGTGCGTGTGCGTGTGCGTGTGCGTGTGCGTGTGCGTGTGCGTGTGCGTGTGCGCGTGCGCGTGCGCGTGCGCGGGTGTGGGTGTGTGGGTGTGTTAGGCGTAACGATGTGGTGTGTGGGCACATGGTTAATCCCTCGCCTGTTCTTCTACTGCTGTAGTGTATGTACATTGCTGAACTGTTGATATGATGCCATGTAGTATATATACATTGCACAGAGATGTATGATGTATTTTGCCACTCAAGTGTCCGTTGGACCATAGGTATAGCATCTCGGGGCTGTAGCCTGTGCAAGGGGTAGGGGCAGCTTTTCTCCTCTAAACACTGAATCCGAAAAGACGGTAATGTTTTAAATGTTTTAAAAAACCTGAATCAAACAATTAAATAGGTAAAAGAACAAGTTGATACTTTCAGCCTAATTCTATCCTGCATGTGATTCATTTACGAAAAATTCCAAAATATGTGATTCCCTCATTAATACCTTCTACGCCACCTAGGATTTTGCTCAGGCTACAGCCCTGCATATCGCGAGCTAATTTGACGAACAACTGCAATCAACCCTGCAATACGAAGGACAGAGAGGGATGTCAACAGAGGGACGAAGACTTCGTGGACTCATAAAAGGACAGAACATGTTGTGAACTCACTCCTGTATTCAATTAGCAGCTAAAAAACTTTTAAAAAAGGCTATCAGTGAGAATATTCAAAATTGCAGAAATATTCATATTCAGTAGATATTTTACTTTTCATTTTGTAACTGCAGTAAGTTCCTTGTAACATCAGTTCTCTGTGTAATGCAGTCAGTACAGGTGGGAATATGTCCCCAGGTAATCAGGCACGTGTCCATACTGCTTTGTGACAATCCAGAACTTTCATTTCCAGACTCAATCCTATAGAAAGGGAAAAACCTCCTATACTTATATATATCCTAAATATATATATAATAAATTTTAACTATATAATAAATAATTTAATTTATATAAAATATCCTACCCTAACTTCTAACTAGTGAAGTAAGAATATTGCTAAACTAGAACAAATATATTTTATCTAAATCTCAGGAAGTTTTATTCGCGAGTATTGGTGTTTCGGCTCCGAGAATCATTTCCCATGCGGTGTTTGAACCTTTCGAAATTTTAGCAGATTGCCAAAAGGTCATACAATGAAAGTTCTGAGGTTGGTGTGCAAGTGTTCGTGTCATGTGCGTGAGCGAGAATGAAAAGCTGGGATGCCGCTAGCACGGAAATCCATTCTTGTAAATCCAAACTGTCCCGTAGTCTTTGCACATGCTCGACGCGTCGTGACTTCGGCAGGTTTCGCTCACGCGAGCGCGTTCCCTGTAGCGTTTCTGTCACCGCCGGCCTGCTCGCCGTGCCCCCCAGAGGGCGCCGGGCGTGCCGATGTCGGAATCGCTGAGGGCGCGTCGTCGCCGCGAAGTTCGTGCGTACGTGCGTGGGTGCTGGTCCCGATTGTCGGGCGAGCGACGAGGAGCGCGGTTGGCAGTTTGGATGTCGAGTGACTCCAATGGAGGGAGAGGAGTTTGAAGGCTGAGGCGGGTCGTGTGGTGAGGTGGTGGCGCGGGTTGCAGGGCTTGGGACGGGCGATCGATCGATCGGGTTCAGAGGCAGTTTGTCGGGCTAGAGGATCGCCTGATTTTGTACGCGTGCCTGGTTGTGTAGAGTCTCCGAAAATAACTGGTTAGCGTATGAACCCCTGATTGCACGCGAGTCGAGAGAACACGATGCTATAGCTGCTAATTGTGATACATTGGACTGTAGTGATTGAATTCTGTGCCACTGTGTGTATGTGTATGTCCCATCCTGCTTAATTTCCTGCGTGTAACATGTGGGGGGAAATAAGGGGGCTTTAATGTTAAAAATGTAACATTCTAGAAGCGGTAGACCACCACAACAGCGCTCCGAAAACCCTGAGACAAGACCAAGCTTGAAACGTCGAAACGTCATAGCAATTTTGGAAAGAACGTGGATCGATTTCACTGCTAACCTTATTATTAATGTCTGTCACTACATTATGTTTTAATCCAGGGTTCAAGACGGCGATTATCATACGGTAAGCTGTAAAAGATCTAAACACAAAACACTCAAAATTCTTATCGTAAAAAGTTTCAAAGTGACGCGGAAAAACACAATGCCAACTCATATATTCGATATCAAACTTGCAAACAAAAAGACTATGGTTTGATATACATTCAGGGGGTCGTTGTCAGAAACATCGTAAAGTTAATGCTAAAGTTAATGCTACGATAACACTTACGACTAATGCTAATGTTGCGAGACTAGCGTTCTAGCGTTGACAGAAACACATCGTAGCTACGAGCAAACTCACGATAACAGGAACTTCATAAGTTCATGTCACAAGGCTGCTGATTGGATGCGAATCGATCACAAAATTCAAATTCATAAACATTTATTGTACATCACAGTAATTTATGCATATTATGATGGCTAACCACATATAAATAATATTTGATGAAAAACGACGCGGTCATGAATTTATTCTGCACAACAAGACAAATTCTCACACTGTAACGCTTTAACGCGAGACGCGAGAGTCGTGGCAAGCATTTCAAACAAGAGAACAGTTAAATGGCATACGCCATTTGTAAATGTATTGTTTTGGTTTACGATCGGTAGATAATTAATTGTTTTGACGTGTTTTTCAAGAAAAACATGATATCACTCATTAATATAAAATATTGTATCACTATAATTGTAATTCTTAGTCTAAATGTGTTATTTTCATCTTAATATTAAAGTTACGAGAGGGTCTGGGCTCTCGTAATGTTATGAGAATATTTCCGAGGGTTTTTCGTTCTCGTAACATTACGATGTTTCTGTCGACGGTTTACGAGTGGAAGTTAATGGTAAGACTAATGTTGCGACTAATTTTTGTTACTGACAACGGCCCCCAGATTGATATAAGACGCCTCCAAGACAATCAAGACGCACGCACACACACGCACACGCGCACGCACACACACGCACAATATTAGATCACAAACCATAAGAAAAGCAGCAACAACATCAACAACAGCAACAACAGGAATACCAAAAGTTTCATCAGTATATGGGTAGCTAATATTGCGACAATGTGGGATTAAAAAGTGAACAGGAAGGGGAATTACATTGGCACTGGTGTGGTTTTGGGTGTAGGTGTGGGTGTAGGTGTGGATTTTGGTGTGGGTGTGGGAAATTGTTTCGTGGTGGGTAGTGCGTTATTGTATATTATTATGCTTACTTATTTATGTTATGAATGCTCTCTTGTTCAAAGGATCCCTCTGGCATGCGTCCATGGCAACGTGGGTTGTGGTCGCGCCGATCATCGACACCTGAACCATAGGTTTTTTTTAGCTAATAAATGCTTAGAGATTAAAGTCATTTATTTGTGTATATGAGAATCTCCGTATTCTGCGCGTGGAGGCAGTTTGGCGACTTGCCAAATAGCCACAGCGATCAAGGCCAGTTCACGATCCCCAACGATTCGAACTTTGAGACTTTGGAACGCGGCCGAACGTTTTTCACGTCGGCGTTGCGATTGTTGCTCTAAGCCCCCGTTAAGTCGGACTCGGCTACTGCGTTACCGTTACGTGCGGCCGTTTCGCAAAACCGCCCTTCGGCGATTTTTCCCCCCTCCAAATTCCAATTCGAATCTCACAGCGAAGAGTTCACACTGCTGCTGTGTTCGACAGTAGCATATAATACTTATACTACGTCTGTCGTGTGTCGGCGTGCCGATTTTAGCGACGATCGTCGCCTTGTGTACTAAGAAACGACCGTCGTTTTGAGTAAGCTCTCGAGGTTACTCAAGGCGCAGCCATGGTCTGCTTAGACAGGCAGTGTGAACTCGCGACCCCTCAAGTCTTTGGTGGTCGACGTGGGATTGTCTTTCGGAAGCAAAATTGGAACAAAAAACGACGACAAAAACCTTTTAATCAGTCGGCAGCGCTGCCTATAATCCGGGGTTTAGAGTGGAAAAATTCTTCCGATTCCAAAATTTCGATACTTTAAACGTGCTCCCCGGCAGTTCCCGTGCGTTCAAACGAGAGTTTGAGGAGTGCCTTAGTGGAGCGTAGAGAGTGAGGGGGAAGTGCATGTATGCGTGTGTGTGTATGTGTGAGAGTGCGCTTGTGTAGAGGAATTGAAAGCTGTATCTAAGGGTGTTAAGTGTGTAGAGCTAACAGCAATCTTACTCTGCCAGTGATCGACGAGCAGGTGGGGAAAAAATTTTAAAAATATTTCATGGAAATGCATATCTCCAGTGCAAGGCAGCTGAGAGAAGCTGAATTATTCAGATTGTGTTGAGAAGCTCTTTGGCAAACTGCTGTCCATAGTACGCGGATGTATGTTGCTGTAGCTGGGTGTGGATTCCTTTGGGGAACTGCCGGCGGAAGTGAAAATTAGTGACGAGTGAATCTCACGTTTGGAGTGGCATCAAACTGTTTCCACGGCAACGGAGCAAGTGCTCTGCACATAATCTTTTTTTCAGTTGAAACTGTTTTAAACGATATTCATTGTGATCTGTATATTGTGTATGGATCACAGACACTGTAGATGTATATAGGCTAACGTTAAAGTGCCAAATGTGTATTAACAGTGTTTTCCAGTGTATAATTTTAGATGCTCTTCTCTTCTGATTATTCATCGTCTCCATGTCGTCCCGTCGCCTAGTTCCCCCCCGTAGTGCTGTCATAGAAACCGGTGATGCCAGAAACGGTCACATGCAGGTATAACGCCATGGCGTCACTTGCATGGTGATGTCTGCTGATTGCGCGGTGTTCCATGATAGTTCTACACAAATGCTTAAAATTTTGATTTCCACCACATAGTTTTCGCCCGTCTGCTTCTCCACAATCTTAGATTTCCTTTTCCTAGTACCTATTCGTCCTATTAGCCTTACTCCATCCGCTATCTTCTCTTATCCATAACCTTTCCTCCTGCACCCCCTCTTACTCTCTCCTTGTGTCATCGTACTGTGAGAAATGCTTGGCTATTGCTTCTTTTTTTTTATGCATGATAATTTTTTCTGACCTACTTTCAGAAAATGGTGTTGTGATTCTGCTAACTAACATATTTTGCTATTTGCAGTGTTTTCTGTAGTACACGTTTTTTTTCGCACTGTGTTTTCATTTTATTTTGCTAATTTTCGCAGCTCTGGCTTGCATTCTTGCTTTCATTTGTGTATAGTTTTTTCACGTGGAGCATGTCGAATAAGACGAACCTCTCCGTCACACGATACGTGCTTTTTTTTCTCGATGTTGTCGTCCCCCGAGCATATCTTGGCTAACTCTGACCGCTTTCGTTGCATGCTGAAATACACTTCGCGCGCATGCATGCCGTAGATTCATTCGTCCCACCTGCGAACCACCACCACCACCACCACCGCGTTCACGACGAGTCCTTTCACGCGCCACCGCACCCACCGTCGTCACCATCGTTCCCCGGCGTCTCGCCTTACCCCCCGCTGCCGCACCCGCTACGACCGGACGAGGGCTGCGCCAGCGCTGACGCGCCGTTCTTGTACTTGCAGTTCGGTATGTTTGAGACGCTGACGAGTGCGTTCATCGACGAGTTTCCCACGCAGCTGCGCGGCAAGAAGATGCTGTTCACGGCGGCTCTCTGCATCGTCGAGTTTCTGCTCGGCATTCCCTGCATAATGAACGTAAGCATCACCCCTGTACATTCGCGCGCGCGCGTGTACTCGTCGCACGTGCGCGCCTTAAGGTTGGGTTTACACTGCCAACTTGCGAATTGCCGAATTAGAACATGTTCTAATCTCCCAACTAGCTGCTATCGATCGGTTGGACGCGCAACTTTTGCGTTTACACTGTCGATTGTCAGTTGGGAAATTGCGAAGTTGGTTCAATTCAGCAATTCGCCAACACAAAGTTGGCAGTGTAAACCCAGCTTTAGACGTGTCGTAGACTGTGTTCTGCAGAGCATGTAGGTGGCATACGACAGTAAGAATTTGTGCTGTTTCGTCTCTGGAAAAGGCCTTACTTCTTTTGAATTGTTTTGCGGTAAAATTCGAAACTAGAGTGCTCTCATTTACGTTATTCGTGCAAGGTAGTGGGTGTTTCCTGTGCAGTGACGGGGGATTTCATATGGTGGTTGTAGCGGTGTTATCGTGTTGCTGTTGTAACTTGCAAGGTTTCTGAAGAAGGAAAACGTGTGAGATGACTGACATATATATTTATATGTTGCAGGGAGGCATGTACATTGTACAGCTGATGGACTGGTATAGTGCGGCCTTCTCTCTGATGCTCATCTGCCTGTGCGAGTGCTGTGTAATCTCATGGATATACGGTAGGCTATACCTTACAGAAATGCTCGCTGCTAAACGTAAAGCTAGTATGCTCATAATGTTGCAACGTAATAATGTGCCATGTCTTAGTTCTGTAAACACAATTAAGATCAAGTGTTTATTTTCATTGCCCAGCAGTTAAGTCGGGCTGTAGTTTTAAAAGAGTTCTTGCTTGCACTTGCAGTAAGAACTTGCCTGCCTGCTTGACCTTGATTCGAATCGTAAACCAGATCATTTATGGCAACAAACCAAACTCCATAATATAAGAGATAGCTCTATTCATTAATAAAGTCTGTCAGACTTGGTTATCAGAAAGTACATAGAGCCCGAGAGAAAATCGCTCCCGTGGCCTGATAAATTGAAATGTACACAAGTACGTACAGCGAGCGCTACATATACACCGTGCATGCAGCAGCGGCTTAAGCTAGGTTTACACTGACGATTATATGCAGTGAAGTTGGCTTCTTTCTTCTTTCTACCAAGCTCTCTATATATATATTCAAAGCTCTTGCGTTATCGACCGGGAGGCGGCAAAAACGTTTCAACATTTGATCCATAGCGTGCGCGTGGGGCGCCGCGGATACGCATTTTTAGCTCATCTGACGTAGTCAGATGCAGCTTGTAGAATCGCATGAGCGTGCGTCCGTGCGTCCGTCCGTCAACAGTTGGGCACAAATCTTAACCGCTTGACGTACGGTTACGATATTCGGGACGTAGGGGGGTAATCCGAAAACGAGTTGGGATGTTGAAGCTGGGGGTCAAAGGTCAAAGGTCAAGAGGTGTAAAAGAAGGGGGAACATTCCTTCCTTAACTTAAGGTATAGGGCGAAAATGCAGAATTGCGGCACAAATCTAAACGGCTCGACCGAGGCTCGTGATAGTCGGTGTATAGCATCATGGTAGGAAAAGCCATCACTGTGCCG